ATTTTAGTTGACGAAAGTCGAAACTAGGTTTCGACTTTCGTCAGCGCGAAACCTCAAGGTTTCGTCTAACAACTATACGTACGTACCCTATAAAAAAGCCGATCCATGATATATTCCATGTTTTTCCCATAAAAGTAGCATATTTACAAAATTTATAATCTTACTTATTACGGGGTTTTCATAAAAAATACGGAACAATAATGGAAATTATTCTGTTCTGGTAATTCTAATTATTAGACTAGCATATTTATTTAAAGGTTCATTTTCAAATTAGCGAGTACAACGTAATGGACAGAATCACACCAATCTTCACAACATCAATTACGAAGTATGGATGGTATCCCGCCATGGTATCCGGAGATAAAAATTTTAACGTTATTTCAAATCGCTGATGACATAAGAGAAACCGACACGAATAGATCACATGATCTACAATCATTCCAACCCTTTTAACCAACACCCCAAACTTTCAGCATTCCGAAACCCGAAAGGGATAGTTACGGTATTCTACCTAATTTGAGATTGGAATTAGGACTTCTCTGTAAGGCCACTTGCAGTTGAATTTTTGGTTAACTTTACTTTTAGAATTCTTGGAAGAGGCGGGAGAGGGGGGTAAAAATGAAACGAACATATAAAAATGGGCCAATTTCATTGGCCGATGCAGATCAAGTGAATGTTATCCATTATTTTGATTGGTTGTTCATTTTTCGGGGGAGACATCAGCTGGGGGGGTTATGTTAACCGAAGAATTAACTTCGAACGACTAATTTCGGCAGTCATTTGATACTGATAAAACTACCTTTTTTTTAGCAGGCTAAATATTTTAACGATCTTCGGTTCAAAGTTGATAAATAAATCAGTTAAATCTATTGTTTAATCGTACAATAATCAATAATCAATGCCACGCATGGCGTGGCTTAAATAAACAAAAAATTATTTATTCTCTTAAGTTAGAGATTACCGTCTCAATTGTAATGACAATAAAATAAAATGGAAACTGAATCTTCTAAGAGTGTACAATCAAACATCCCCCATAAAAAAGAAGAGCCTAAAGAATTTGAACTTGATATAAACGTTGATCCACATAATGGATATCCTATTACGCAAATTGATTGTTCACCTAATATGAAGTATGCTGCTACATTAAGTGAATTTGATAAATCAGTGGTCTTATGGTTTATCAAAAGACAGAGTTTGAAATATATAAACACTATTCCAATCACAAATATTGATGTCGGACCGGAAACTTCAACGACATTTACAGTTTCAGATGATGGATTTGTTGCAATGAAACTTCGTAGATTAAATCCTCGTAACTTTGGTGAGTTATTTTGAAAAAAGATGTCGTTATTATTTTAATTTGGATTATAAGATTGACCTGATTTATTATGTCACTTACTAAGGAATTTACGACCCCCAAAAAAAAACAACCGAAATATCCCCTTTGCCTTTTCCTTATTTACACAAGAATATTAGTCATTTGTCCTTTATTAATAACGGAAACCTTGTGACGATCAGCACTAACGAACACAAAGCATATATTCTTTTTCCAAAAAAAACAGATAATCAAGTCGAGTGGATTTTCAAATCAATGATTGAACTGAAAAATTTTAGTACTTCAGATAAAATATACATAACTCTCAAAGGAAAATTAATCTTTTTTAAAAAAGCGACTTACGAAATCATAATATGGAATTTAAAAACTTTGACGATTGAAGCACAAATTTTGTTGGATTGGAATTTTAATTTCGAGTGCGTTGGGTTAAGTGACGATGAAGAACTATTAGGAATATCTGCAAGCAGTTCTAAATTAACGTATCTATACATTTTTTCTACAACAACCGGGATGAATTTATCAAAACGTAAGTTTCGTTCAAAGTTAATGTGTACTGACAATAAAACGTAAACATTAACAGTATTCTCAATTTTATAAAATTTGGCATGTGATCTCGTTATTTTGCGATATTATAGATACTTATAATAAATCAGTAATAATTGATGGTATCCATTTTATTGCTTCTGATTTTGGTGAACGTATACTTATCACATCACATGTGCTTGATAGCTTTGAAAGGATTAAAATAGATCTTAATGTTCATAGATTTCACGAAGAAGAATTGACTTTTGATTATGATTTAATGGATCCCTATAATTTAACGAATCCTGTCAGTGCTAATAAACTCTTTAGGCGCTAAAGGCTAAAATTAAACCGCCATACATAATTAAATCAGACAGCATTATTTATACAAATGAAGAACAATTATTTATTGAAAAATTGGTAGAACAATCGGTTAAAGATAACTGGCTTAATTATTTGAGAAATGATTTGAATGATTATAACAAAATATCGACACCTCCAGGTAAAAAAGACATTATTGATTTTATAAGAAACATTGACAGTAAAAAATATATTCAGGGAAATGAGACATACGAAGGGTATTTGACAAAATGGACCTTAAGTTGTAAAGATGTTATGTTTACTCTTGAAGCGTTTCACGAAAAATCCAAAGTATCTGAAGAAAATAAGCGGGAACCAGTACATATAAAAAATCAACAAAAAGCAAATATGTATGTAAGAAAGTGTAAAGTTCTTAAAAATGATGATCTTGTCATGGTTACAGAAAGGTGTGTAATTCTCTGGACATATAACCCCCTTAAGGGTATAAGTGTGCATTATATTTGGGGTGTTGGTAAAGACGTTGGTAAAGAAATTAATAGAGATGTTAAATATTGGAGAGAGATATTTGATGATTCTTTACCAGAAAGACTTCTTCCACAATCTGATTTAGATGGAATTATCAATGAAGCTAATATTAAATCAAATAATGATACTACAAATTTATATGATTTGTTATTAGATAATTATGTTGAAGATAATTTTTTTTTAGCACGTTTTGGTAAAATACTTATGGAGAAATTTTTAGATTTAAATAGGGATTGGTGGATTGAAAAATTATGCGAGAATTGTATTAATAAATGCTCGTATGGCAATGATAAAAATAGTTCTGATATACAATCAAATATTCAGTCATTAAGTATTATAGCTCAATTTTATTCAGAATTAATTGAAAAGAATCCTGCAATCATATATAAATTTTTATCGGAGATGGCATTTGTGGTTCCTTCAGTTGAAAATAATAATACGTACTATAATTCTTTATCATCGTCACCTCATCTTCGCCATTATAGTTCACATTATGACTTATATGAAACATCCCACATTAATAATGCATTTTTTATTATTTCTAAATATTGGCTTGTCTTTAAAAATAAAAGTAAGCCATTTATTTGGAATCAACCGAAATCACTTGAAAATTATTATAAATCTTTATCTTCTGTTATTCAGGGTTTCCTTATAAAACCATTTGAAAATTATTATAGAACTTACTATGTAGATAATAATGCAACAATTAAATTATTATTTCCTTTACCTTATTTTGTTAATTATCCCAAAGATTTCAATACTTTAAAGGATTTATGGAAACCTGAACCTAGTTCCTTTACAAAATCAATTGATTTAGAATTATACAAAACTTGGAATGGAGAAGCTCTTTTAAACTTCAAGTGGAATACTTATGGAAGATATTATTATTTATTTTTCTGGATGATTTATACTATCTTTCTTTGTTGTTTTACTGCTGTAGCAACTTTATCAAACGAAATTTCTTGGGCTCATCAACAAACTCTTTTAATATTCACTATTATACTTGGTACCTGGCAGTTTATTTTCGAGTTTCGCCAGTTTATTTATTCTCCTATACTATATATTATTTCTCCATGGAACTATGTTGGTAATTATAAGTTCTGTTATTTGTTATATTTTATTTTTGCTATTCTTATTTTATTTTATGTTATTTATTTCTGTTATAAAGATTTGGGGGCTATTTTACTTCCAACTATAACTTCAATTATATGGCTTAAGAATTATACTGCTCCAACTTGGACAATTATCTTTTCTACATTGTTGCTTGAATTAAAATTTCTCACTTATTTCCGGGCGATTGAATATGTTGGTGTTTATTTTGCAATGATGATTGGCGTAGCTAAAAGGGCCTTTTTATTTTTAGCTATATTAGCATTTATTGTATTTGCTTTTGCACATTCATTACACCTCTTACTAAGACCTACTACCGATATATCTTTGGATCAACCAAGTTATTCGAATGATCCAAATAATCCTTGGAATTTAGTAACAAAGTACTATACTGTAAATTCGGATGGTTCTGTCAGTAAAGACCCTTTTCTTATTGAACCTCCAAGCGAAAGTACAAATATGTTTTCGACACTAATTTCTGCAATTTTGGCAGTTTATATTATGCTTACAGGTAATAGACTAAATTTATCATGTTTAATAAAAATCTTTTATTGTAAAAATGCCAAAAATTTTTAATTATAATATTTAATAGGAGATACATCTTCTTTGTCTCCTTGGGCTTTAAATGAGAATATAACTTTAACTATCTTAGTAGTTATATTTTCTTTTTTTACAACAATTTATTTAATGAATTTGTTTATCGGGTTACTTAGTGATGCAATAAATGAGACCAACAACAAAGAATACTTTTTAATTCAAAGGGCTGAGGTTTGTCTGTTTGGAATTATTATATTTGTATAACATTTTAATGCATACAATAAATCTTGAAGCAAAGTTTGGAATTTGGTATAGTTTATTAAATTGGTATATAACAATGTACCAATGTACTAATCCATAGAAACTAAATTGTCTTAACATGCCAAATTGTCTAAGCATGCTTTAAGATATAGTCTTCATTATATAATATTTTAAGCCTTTTATTTCGCAAAAAATATAGTATAAAAACTAATAATTATTAATATTTTTTCAGGTTTTAACTGAAATCGAATTATTTTACATGCTACCCTATCAAAGAAGAAAATATAACTGGTTTCCGAATATTATGTGGGTATAATAAAATTGATTATTAATTATTTATAATTTATTATATAATTTTAATTATATTATTTTTATATGCTTAGCTTTTATGAAGTACATGTGCATGAACTTCGTGATCTAATTAAAGATATTCAAAATGGTAAATGGACAACTTTAGAGAAACCTTATATTTCTCCTTTATTTTTAGAATATATTTATCAAGAAGATGAATCTGAAATCAGTCAAATTAAAAAAAGATTAGAAGATTTAACTAACGATGAATCTGAAATTAGACAGATTAAAAAAAGAGTGGATGATTTAACTAGCAATAACTATGAAATTAAAAAAAGGTTAGAAGATTTAACTAACGATGAATCTGAAATTAGGCAGATTAAAAAAAGGGTGGATGATTTAACTAGCGATGATTCTGAAATTAGTCAAATTAAAAATGGGTTAGAAAGTTTAACTAAATTATTTGGCAGTTTCAAAGAAGAAATTATATCAAAATTAAACGAATTAAAACAAAACTAGATTATAAAAATTGTTTTATATATATTTTATTTATACAACATTTTTTTGTTATTTTTATTTAAATAAAATTTAAATTTTAACTAAATTAAATATAATTTAGTGATGGATCTGATCACAAAAGATTATCAAATTCTCTGGCCCTATTGTTTATCCACCCAGCACAGTGTGCCTTAATTGGTCTTCCTGATTTTGAAGAGTTTAATGCAAGATTCAACAGCATCAGGATTTGTCCGCACATTTATAATCGACCAATGATTCATTATAATCAGTGTAATGTAACACGATCAAGAGTAATATAAAATTTGTCCGTTTTTTAAAACTGTTCATATCCAAAAAATCTACTTAACAAACCGCTGCCCTAGCAAAATTTTTCTATGAAATTTTACCCTATAAAGTTAGTTCTTTCATAATAATTCTATTGCTTATGTATACAATATTGGGCAGACGATGAAAAAATAACAGGAAATCTTTTTCATCGGAGTTAATGTCACCCCATGTGCTGCATAACAACACATGAGTGACATTAAACTCTGATGAAAAAAATTTCCTGTTATTTGTCGTATGCTTAGAGATGGGCAAAATACGCATTTTGAACCATGTTATGCGCATTATGCCGCATAATGCGCATGATGCGCATGATTGGGCTCAGCTTGGTAAAAATACATTAAATTAGCAAATATTTATTCAATAAAATTGTTTGTGCTAAATTATTGATTGTTATAATTAAGTACATATTCAAAATTAATTTATCCTTCATTATTTGCATAATCAATATCTATATCTTCACCATTAATTTCTTCCAAATCTTCAAACAATTCGCTTTTAATTTCTATTAATATTTCTTCATATGAATCATATAAGTTATCCACTGGATCTAATAGTTCAGTGTCTTCTTGACTATTTGAAACTTGTGATAGCTTATTATTAAGCCGTGCTATAGCATTTGCTATATCAGAAATTTCTATTTGGGGACAGGCAAGTTTATAATTACTATATATGTATTATTTGTTCATTTGCTAATCGAGCTCTTTTTTTTTCCTGAATTTAAGAAAATGCTGATCAATTACGTTCGGAGGCTGCTGATTATGAATGAATTGAGAGGATTCTGATAGCAACTTTACATAGCCCAGGTGTTGATTGTTCAAAGTTTCCTTTCCACCACCTTTAATCGCCTTAATCGCCTTTGAAATTGTTTTTATGCTAATAATTTTACTAGTGTACATTTCATCAGGATGCTTTGGTATCGGCAATGTTTTAATAACTTTTCAGCATCTAAAAATTGCTTTTTAATTTCATCATCATTTGAACTAGCTATCTTATCAAGCTAACCCTTTATTGTCTTACAAACATTCAGAGCATTAGGCCGTTTTTGTGGATCAGAATGCATGCACTTCTCAGCAAAATTAATATAGCATTTAGGAGTTCCAGGTGCAAACTTTGGCCGCAATCCTTTGCAAAATTTCGACTACAAGTTATGATTAAAATTACGACCATCAAAAGGCCTTTGTCCAGTTGACATTTCTGCCATAATAATACCGAATCCATTGCTTGTGTGAACGGTTGCTCTCCTGGTAAAACTTCAGGAGAAACATAAGGCATGACTCCATATATAACGCCTTCTAAACACTAACATTTTTCTTTTAGAAAATCCTAAATCTGTAATATAAAATTGTACACTTTCATTAGTAGGTTGGTCTATCAAGACGTTGCCACTATGAAAATCAGCATGAATGTATCCTGCACATCTGTGAATCTTATCTAACTCCTGTGAAATATCTTTAAGTATTTGCAATTTAGCTTGCCATGTAAATTTACTAAATTTCTCTGTCAAAAGTTTACGAAGACTTCCATTACTAACATACTGAATTACCATAAAGTATTCATTTGTCTCTGTATCTTGATTTATCCCATATATTGCAAGTTTACTATAATTATTTAATAAAATTTTAAACTTAAAAAGTTTTAACAATGAATTAGTTCAACAAAATATTAGATAAATTGTAAAGGCAATGAATTAACTTACTTTTTTTAAAAATTCAAAATTATTTTAGAACTGCCGAGTGCCATGAGTACAAGACACTGGATGATTCGCGTGTTCTTACATAATTATAATCTTCATCATCAATTTTTCCTATGCCATCCAACCAAGGTTGCTTTATATATAGTCTCAGATCTTCCGTTGCCAATTTCTATAATATCCCTTAATCTATCGAACGAAATCCATTCAATTACATCTTCATATGCAAGAGCTCTAAGTTGGAATTCTTTCATGCAATCATCAATATTCTTATTTCTACTTGTCCATCTTGTTGCTATGTCAGGGTAACATGATACACACCATGCTTTATTCGTGTTATCTTCATTACAATGTTTTATTTATTAGTCATACTTTATTTCGAATTAAAAATTTTTATGCTTACCGATTAATAAGACGGACGAAACGGTAATGAAAGTAGTTATATTATTGATTTGTGAACATGTTTTGCTATTTTTTTTATTATTATTATTTTTTTAAATCTATCCATTAATAAATGTTCTTTGAACTCACCGTCTAAATTAATGTGAATGAAATGTAATAAGTATTTATGTTCTTGATTTGTGAACTTGTTTTGCTATTTTAATATAATCCATTAATAAACGTTCTTTATACTCACAAACTAAATTAATTCGAATGAAATATAAACAAGTATTTATGTTCCTGATTTGTAAATTTGTTTTACTGTTTTTAGTATGCCAAATTGTCTAATCATGCTTTAAGACATAGTCAAATATTAATAATTAAAATTTATATTTTTCGTTATATAATATTTTAAGGTTTTTATTTTGCAAAGATATAGTAATTAAAAATTACTAACCTCAAGTTTATTAATATTTTTGCAGGTTTTAACTGAAATCGAATTATTTTACATGTTACCATATCAAAGAAGAAATACAAGGTTTCCGAATATTATGTGAGTATAATATAATTGATTATTATATAATTTTAATTATATACGTATTATTTTTATATGCTTAGCTTTTACGAAGTACACGTACATAAACTTCGTGATCTAATTAAAAATATTCAAAACGATAAATGGACAACTTTAGAGAAACCATATATTCCTCATTCATTTTCAGAATTTATTTATACAGAAGATGAATCTAAAATCAGTAAAATTGAAAAAAGGTTAGAAGATTTAACTAACAATGAAATTAGACCGATTAAAAAAAGGGGGGAAGATTTAACTAGTGATAATTCTGAAATCAGTCAAATTAAAAAAAAGCTAGATTATTTAACTAACTTATTTGACAATTTCAATAAGGAAGTTATATCAAAGCTAAACGAATTAAACCAGAGTTAGGTTATAAAAATTATTTTATTCTATATTTATTTTACTATACAACTTTTTTTGTTATTATTTAAATATAATTTAAACTTCAACTAAAACGTAAACACAAAACTATTTGAACATAATTTATTAAATATATGTTGGATCTGACCAAAGAGATTATCAAATTCTCTGGTCTAATTGTATATCCACCCAGAGCAGTGTCCATTATTGATCTTCCTGATTTTGGAAATTTTAATGCAAGATTCATCCATACTTTCTTTTTTTAAAAAATAATATTGTCATAAAAATACCCGATCACTATATTAAGATCAGGGGAATTTAGTAAAAGTACCTGATCCAGAAAAGAGGACATCAATAGGAGAATTAATGCCCTGTATGCTATATTATTAACTTAAAATGAATTGGTGGAAAATAATTTTAATATACTTTATAAATTTTTATTCAAAGGAGTTTGAGCCCATTGACGATAACAACCAGATTTTTATAGAATGTCTCTTTCATAGAGTGCCACTTGACTATCATATACCTATATCAATCTCTAATCCTCTTACTATAGAGCTTTATAAGTTTTATGTGATTTGAAAGAACTCAATATTTCGTAAAGGTTGCCTTTTTTATTTTCTTTTAATCCACAATTCTTGAGTTTAAGTAACCTTTTCATTCCTCTACTAGTTCAATGGGTGATATTTCCTAAGCATTTGTTTGACCTTTTCTAAATTAAAAAGTAAATTTATTTTTTGTATTAGTTAAGCTGGCCCTAAAGTAGAAATTTATGTAAATTATAAAAAAACGTAGTTTGTAAATAGAATTCAAAATTCCCCAGAAGCGATCATATTCTGACGCTTTGATTTAAAAAAAAAACAAACTTACAGAAGCTAAGAACATCCGCACTAACTATTTGATTCAAACTCAAATTTCAAAAATACCTAATACTGCAAACACATATTTTCTAGGAAAAAATCTATCAAAAAAGGTGTAAAGAGGCTATAAAAAGATTATTATCAAATTACCTACAAATTTCACAAATTCTCTAGTTAGACTTTTATTATGTATTAGCATAGTATCACGGGCTAAATGTGATATTTCTGAAAATATATATAATTGCTCTGTAAATCTGTGATAAAAAAAGTCAAGACGCACAAAGAAAAGAGGCTGTGAAAAACACACATGAGGCTTGCTAGCTGAGATAAATAATAAACAGAGATAAACAAATACGAAGCCAAAATCACGATGATAAATATGCGAAACGGCGTATAAACTCTAAGCAAAGCCTTAGAGAAATGTTTGAAAGTATGATCAAGCCTTCTTTTGATTATACGAAAAATAAGTTATTTAAATAAAGAACGTGACTTAGGTGTGACTGGTTACGGCATTTATGTGTAAGAAAGGGACACAAAGAACTAATTATAAAGAAATGCTTCAAATCACTATAGTCATTCCTCTGATGAGTTTTCATGCCTCTGATGAGTTGTCTTGCCTATTTCTTTGTGTTAATTTACCCTATCTTTGTATATTCATTTCACCCAGTTGAGAAACCTAAAAGCGGCGAGTCTATCGCTAGGACAAATAGTAGCTTCGTGTAACCGTAATTAAGGTTACGTTGGGTCGAAAAAGGCGTTAGATTTGGCGAGTGGTTAAATGAATGTATGTTGTTTATAATATATGAGACTTAGGTACTTTATTATTAGGTAAAGCGGGAACTAACTTCTCCCAAAGGGCAAGAAGGCCTTTATTTATAATTGTGAATACAGATATTTACATTACAAGAATCATCTATATTAATGGTATCACCAATAAACCCCGTATCGACCTTATAGCCAGTATTATTAAGATCCGCCATTTCACCCAAATTATCCTAATCTTCCAGATCTGGTAGTTCTGACATCTGCCAGATCTGGCCCGGGGAAATTGGGCCGGGAAGGGAATACCCAAAATCACGAGGGCACGTGCCTGCTTCAGGTCACGTTTCCGGTCTCACACCATGACAAGATGAACAGTTCACTTTGTCTATTATGTATGGAAAATCATAAGTTTGCATGGTAAGTGATGCCAGATAATCAAGACAATAAACATTATTATATGCATTACAATGAGATATATATGTTCAATTGTACTGCTTCGAAAGTGACATTGCCTTGAAAATGACCTTACGGTACATGATACTGTAAGGTCATTTTCAAGGCAAAGACCCCATATGTCATTCATAAACTTATGAGTACTGCACGCTATTTCAAAATCAGTGAAAATCTATCAAAAAGTATAAAATTATATATACGCTTTTATTATGTATAAAGATCGTTTTTTTGATTGTATATAATTTAAAGCAAAAATATTTTTTTAAAAAAATCATCTATTTATATATCCATATCGTCTTGCACATGTTTCGCGTCATTTTTTGATTATCAATTGACATTTCTATTTTTAACTATTGAGAAATGACTCAAATCGATTCGTAATGCAGACTTATAGATTACATGATTGCTGATAGTAATAATTACAATAATTACATGAATTGTTCATTCTCAATATGTTAATATTGTATTATATAATACCGCTGACCCTAAACAACCATCTCGCAATTCGTTCTCAATTAGTTTCTTATGATATCTCTAATCTCAACAAACATTTCTTACTTTTTGTTTTCAACCATCTTATTATTTTCATCTTCAACCATCTTATCATTCTCAATCAGTTTCTAATACACCATATAATTCTGCTTATTCTCAACAAACATCTACTAATGCTAACTCTCAAAAACAACCTTGCAATACTTATTATTGCAATGGTAATAATTCATCAGATTCAATGATAAGTATTTCAAATTTACAAAGCATTTACTCTAAAATGAGTAGAAGAAATTGACAATAAAAATCACAACAATCTTACCAACAATCTCACCAACCAAATCAACAACAATTTTATCAATTATCTCAACAACAATTTTATTAACAATCTCATCAACCTTCTCAAGTATGCCCTCCTTCTCATTATAAATCCCAGTCTTATCATTCATTACCAGATAATAATATAAATCTTTTTTACCACAACATTCAACTAATCCAAATTTTAGAAAAAGATTATGTGAAATATTAACTAGTCAAGATGCATCATGTAATCATAATGCATCATGTAATCATAATGCATCATGTAATTATAATGCATCATGTAATTATGATGCATTATGTAATCATGATGGTAATAATTTCATATACAAGGCTTTTTTTTTTTTTTGAATAGATAACTTTTTCTTTTATTTTAAAAAAAAATTTTTTTTCTTTTTTTATAAAATAAAAAAAATATAACTTCACTTTTTTATTATTATTATTATTAATAAGATCCTTTTTTTTTCTTTTTTTATAAAAAAAAAAATAATAAAACCACTAACACCATCATTATTGCAAGGAATTTAAGTAGTGCTATACTTAAAACTAACAGCTGTATATATTATTTAAACAGCACAATGAAAATTATAAAAAAATAAAGAAAATAAATAATGAATTGAAAACAATATAATAAAAAATTGAACTCTCTTCTCAAGTAGTAAATATAAATAATTTTTTTTCTAAATAACTTTTTTTTATATTAAATATATTTATTATATTTTTTTTATTTTAAAGAGTATATATAATAACATTGTAAAATTTTTATTTTTATCTCAAGATTACCTAAACCAAAGTGTTCTGAAGTATATATAAAAATTATTTTGAAAAGTACTTTTCTAAATTTATATAAAGTATGAGTACTAATTAATTTACAAACTATTTTATAGTGAATAGTGTAGTGTGGTATATAATTAATTAATAATTTTTTTTAATATTAGTTAATCAATAATATTTTTTTAATATTATTAATTAATAATAATTTTTTTTTAATCTTATTTTATCAATTGCTAACTAATAATAACTATTTAATTTTATAAATTTGTAATAATAGTCAAAATTTTTGACCGATGATCATATGGGCTGCCGTCAATAGAAATAAGGCAGATTGACATTTTAAAACCTTAACTTTCACAGTTCATATCTCAATGAATTTTGATGCTATCTTGATAATTTAATATTCAGAAGAAAGCTTAGATCGTAAGCTTTCTTTTGACTATTAAATAATCAAGATAGG